CTTTACTCGCCAGGAAAATTATTTTAATTAATTCCTGGTACTCATTTCTGTTAGAGGCTGAGTAAATCCCTGGGCCTAGTGAGGCTGGTAGGATTAGGTCAACTGAAGAAAATCCAGTGACCTCATCGGGACTTGAACCCGCGACCTTCCGGCTTGTAGTGTAGCCTCTCAACCACTACGCTACCGCATGCCCCTCAAAATATGTGTAGTTATATTATATCATATCATTATATATGTTTGAAGTGATATTCAAACTCTTTCAACCGCTTTTAAGTAAGAGAAACGAAAGTCTGTCTTCTAGCCCATTTGATTTATCAATGTCTTTCATTGCATAGGAAGATGCAGAAACAGGACATGGGTGCAGTAATGACAATGGTGTATAAAGAAGCCGGGCCTGGACATTGCTCACGCTCTGTTGAGGATGAAGCAGTTCTTGCAGCGGACTCATCTACGGGCAGGGTTTTGGCCTATCACAAGATGAAAACTGCAACTAAGAAAATAGGCATTCCATTGGTACAGTTGCTATATGTATTTAGGACATATAGAAACATACTTCTAACATAATTACGCTGTAATGATGAGCTCAGTATTCTGACATTCACAGCTACGAGGGTCGTACTGAAAGTCATGTGCAACAATTTTTTGTAAAGTAACATGCTTTATTATTGACAAACCAAATACACCACCTCAATCTACAGACCTTTCTTTATTTTTCCACATAATCGCCACTTCTTTGTACACATTTCTCCCAGCGTTCTGGGAGTTTGAAAATTCCCCTTCTGTAAAATTCCATTCCAGCCATCCGAAGACACTGACGCACTGCTTTCTGAATTGCCTCCCTTGTCTCAAAATGTTGTCCACGCAGCTGATCCTCCACAAATCTGAAAATATGGTAGTTGGAGGGTGCCAGATCAGGGCTATAGGAGGGGTGTGGAAGAACTTCCCACCCCATCTTTGTAATTGCTTCCAATGTGAGGCGAGCAGCNCTTCAGTCAGTAACTGCGGGACCCAACGAGTACAAACTTTCCTATAGCCCAATCTTTGAATCATCTCCTGTACTGCACTGTGCCCTATTCCAAGTTTTCGGGCTATTGTGTCCACAGTCACATGCCTGCCTGTCATGTTGAATGATCTCATCCACTCTTTCCTTGTTGCGTTCAGTTGAGGCTGTTCGAGGATGACCGCTCCGAGGCTCATCTTCGTTGCTC